AGTAAAAAGGTTTAATAGGTTGACAGTTCTGCAGACTGTACAGGAAGCATGACGCTGGCATCTGCTCAGCTTCTGGGGAGCCTCAGAAAACTTACAATTATGGTGAATGGTGAAGGGGAAGAGAGCATCTCACATGACTAGAGCAGGAGAAAGAGAGAGGGGGAGGTGCCACACATTTTTAAACAACTGGATCTTCTGAGAACTTACTTGCGATCACAGGAACAGCACCAATGGGAGAATTCACCCCACAGTTCAATCACCTCCCACCAGGTCCTACCCCCAACACTGGGGATTACAATTTGGTATGAGATTCGAGTGGAGATATGGATCCAAATCATATCAGGGCTACAGGGCACTTGCTTTTCGCCAGTAGGTACCCTTTGCGCAGCTCCCTGGAGTCTCCCTATACAGATGCACAGCTTTGTATTCAGCCAGAGACTCACAGCAGTCTCAATGTCAACTCATAGAACTTCTTCACAGCACTGGTCTAAGTCTCTCCACTATGCTGCTTAGCGGCTCTGGACTTGGATATCTGTTTCCTTAGCTGAGCAATACCACCGTGCTTTTGTTTGGGCTCCCTCACTCTGCATTCCAGAGTGGGAAGTGCCCCCAGACAGGTATGCTGGTGGTGGTGGGCTCCTCTTTCCTTCTTTGTTTTCTTTCACTCCAGGATTACACACCTGATGTTCAATGCCTGAAAACTGTTTCTCTTTCTCTCTCTCTTGCTCTCCATCTATCTGTGTGCACACACACACACACACACACACACACCCCTACACAGACACACACACACCCACAATACTACTAGAATATAAATGTAATATGTATATTTTAGTATATATATATGTCTATATATGTGTGTGTATATATATATATGTTATATTCTAGTATTTAAGTTGTTTATGGTAAGAGGGCTAGTTGGTATCAGCTACTTTATCATGAATTAAAGTGGACATCTTAGGAGGATTTTAACTGAATGGACTGCAGTAAGGAGTCTAAAATCCCACAGAGACTAAGAAAAGTGTTCATATTAGAGTCTAAAGCCTGTTTTCTTGAACAAATTCTGCCTTTTCATCCGTATATTTACTTTAATATTGTTTAATAAAAATGACAAATGGAATCTGATTGAAGACCACTTTTTAATTGTCCTTTAATTGTAAATGAGCCCTATGTTAATTCTCTTAAAGTACTGCTGAGAATGTATCCAATTTTTTGGATATTTTATTGTTCTTCAGTAAACCTATGTGTTCAAAAATATTTATCAAATAAATAAACAGTAAAAAATTGAATGAGGCATTCAAGGAACATTGAATGGATATTTATTGCTATTGGAGAATTGTTATTTTTTTAGGTGAGATAATGTTATTTAAAAAAAATAGTTCTTCTATTTTAGTATTACTTGTGGAAATATTTACAGAAGCTATAAAATGCTTTCTGGGATTTGTTTAAAAATAATCTGGGGACAGAGGAGAAAGTGGCTATTTAGATAAAACAAGATGGCTCTGAATAACTATAACTGTTTAAGCTATTGCAATTATTAATATCTTTTAAATTATCATTACTGTGTGTATACACATATCTACTATAAGCTTATAGTGCTAGGAAGTATATTCATTGATAAACAGAGGGTGCATATGTTCCCTGACCACTGAGCTTATTTTGCCTAGTTGAAAAAGTTAAAATGTATAAAATAAAGTTATTGATAATTAATTTATTATAATTCAATAACTTAAAAAGCATGAGGTGCTGTAAGAGTTGGGTAGACAGTGATCAGGGAAAAGCATAATAACTCATTTTATGAGCAGGAAGGCAGTATAGGGTAATTGGTAGGGTTGCCAGATTTAGCAAATAAAAATACAGGAGTTCATGTTACTTTCGTGAATTCTAAAAGCGAAGAATAACATTTTTAGTACAAGTATGCCCCATGCAATACCTTGGACTTACTTATACTAAAAAATTCATGATTTATCTGAAATTCAAATTTAACTGGGCACCTGTATTTACCTGGTAACCCTAGGTAGCACTTATGAACATTGTCTCTGAGACCAGAAACCTGGGTTCCATTTCTGTGTCTCCCACCTCTTACCAACAAATTAGTTCATGAGTCTATTACTCAGTGACAGGGGAGTCTGGGGGAAAACACTGACTAGTATCCAAAGAATGGGTCATCCCATCTAGTTAATTATCAAATTATTTTAAAATCCTCCTCTACTGAGGCCACCCTTTGTTGACCATTTGCATGGCACACGGATACCTTCACAAATATCTTCACCCCATTCAGAGAGATCTATTCACATACATCTTCCCCAGATGTTTTTGTCATTAAACCTTCCGCCGTTTAAGCCCCTGATCATCCCCCAAAACCACTAGCCACGGCACATGAATAGGTATATAATTGAACATCTGGCCATTTCTCCTTCCAAGCAAAATAAACAGCCAGGTGCACTGCTTGAAGTTCTGCTCACTGGGAAATTTTCCTTTCATCACTGTTCATCAGGGATGTCCCAGAAAGAGGCTTTGGCGCTATAGCTGCTTACTTCCAGGTGGTGCCTGAACATCACAGGACCATCAGTAAGCCAGACCTAAGTTTTTTCCTTCTTCTATCAACTGATTGTGGGAAACTTTCCATGAGGCTATAGTGCAGGTGGGAGAGAGAAGGCAGTATAGATGAAGCAGAGACCATGAGCTTTGGGGCCCCTTCTTTAAGTAATTTACTTGTGCTGTAGGGCCTGTTCAAGTCCAATCTGGTATATACCACTTCCATTTGATGATAGAGTGCTACAGTGCACACACAACTTCATAATTTGGTGAGTCAAATAACACCCAGTTCACGACAGGTTTACTTTCCCTGTGGCTCAGTTTCTACAGTGTGGAATGGAGAAAATGGCACCTACATGTTAGGTTTTTTAAAAAATCATTATTAAATTCACACTTGGTACATTCTGTGGCACAGAGGGACTTATTGCTTGACAATAATGATGATAAACTAAAATAATTTTAAATATTGTAAAATGATTATATGAACTGAGCAACGTACAAATATAAGATGAATAATTGCCTAATGATTTATCTACTTTGTTGCTGCTGAATCAGTATTGACTAGAGATGCACATATAGGCTGTGAAACTCTAAAGAAAAGATGGAAAAGTTGCTACCTTTAATGGGGCAGGAGGGGGCTATAATGGTAAAGACACCTACAGAAAGTGCTTCTAGGGCAATGGCACCATTCTCTTTCAGGATATGGTATAACATTGGTGTTTGCTTTATAATTTTTTAAAATTGCTTGTTAAACTCTACATTTATGTTTGTGTGTGTGTGTGTGTGTGTGTGTGTGTATGCCCACATTCATGTCACAAAAAATGTTAAAGCATGCTCACCAAGTTCCTACTATTGTGTCAGGCACTGAACTTGTCCCTGGCAATAAAACCATTAATAAGACAGAGACATTCTGTGACCTCGTGGATCTTATGTGTTCTTGGAGTTATACTGGCATTGAAAAATAATTGCACAATTAATTTCTTACCATTGCATATGTTCTACAAAGGAAAATATATAGGGGGATGAGACTCAGAATGACATGGTTGAGATTAAAGTCAGACTTTATGCCCTAATTTAATATCTAAATCTGGAACTGACAAAAAAATAGCTTAAATGTTCATCTCTCTCCATGACTTTACTTGATGTACACTTACACATATTTTTTTGACATATTGCTATTTCTCTTTATGAAAAAAATACATTATGGAGCCATTTAAATGTTCAGAAATAGACCACAATGGATAAACCAATAACAATAACTTTTCTTAGAAACAAATAATATGATCCTGTTTAATACTCTATTTTATCATGGGAACAGACACTTTATATTTTCCTTAGGACTAGATTATGGATATTAGAGATGGAAAAAACCGGAGTTCGCCACAAAATGTCAATTCTCTCTACTTAAGGAAATGTTTCCGTCTCCAGGAGAGCCTTCCTGACCTCCTCATTTCAGTCCAGCATTTTAGAATGATTGCATCAGATTTCTAATTGTGTTGGGCAGAGATAAGCACTCCTAAGTGTACATGACAGGAGGTAGCAGTGGTGGCACAGGCTCTTTGCAAAGCTGTGTGATTGTCTGGAGTACTTTGGGCTGCCCAGCCACTGCGGCTCTGATTACTTCCTTTGCCACGTTTTCATCTTGAGTTCCTTTAGCTAAAAGTTAGCTTCATTTTTTGAAAGTCTCTGAACTCTTGATTTCTTAAATGAATTTAAGTGGCTTCAATATCTACAACCTCATTATATGCTGTACCAAATCTGTTAATAAATTAACCATAATTCAGCTTGCTTCTGTATAATGGAGTTTTTGCTGGAGGTGCTGTAATTAGAAGAACACCACCTATTGCTTGTTATTTAATCTAGTGATTTATACAGATTTTTTAAATGCATATAATAGGAAACCAATTAGCATTACCTGGGAGATTTATTTCTCAACTTATTTTTGGACTCAAATAATTAAACACAGCTACCTGAAATAACTGGTAATGAGCTGCAAGTAGATGAAACTGTAAGTTATTAATTGACTCATCAACTCATATTACACAAACTATTCAGTTAACATTTTTAGGGATTAAACAAATTTCTTTGGGGGAGAAGGATAAACAGTGGTCCTAACTGTAGGCAAGAAACTGTAATTTTCTCTTTCAATATAAACTTTGTGAATAGTTTTAAGTTCAAAATATCTAAAAATCAAAAATAGACTTTGATAAGGATGGCATGTGCTGGAAGCCTGTGGTGTTAACAACACAGGGAGATTTTGTCAAGCCATGCGATTTGACCACAAAAGCTCATGTCTTGCAAAGGAGGGCAGGTTTCCACGTTTGCCTTTGGGTCAGCTCTTTGCATTGTTGATTGATTCCCTGTAATGCTGTTGTCAGTATTTTATCAATAGTCAGATAGATCCCATGACTGGCATTTTGCCTTTTTAAAACCATCCCCTTTGCCATTACAGAGAATTGAAACCTCGAAGCCAGCTGGGAATAGCTAGCAGGCTTTTAATTATTATTTATGAATTCATCAGAAAGAAATATTGACTTCTAATTAAAGGCAGAAAATTACTCCTGGAATAAATTGATAAAGGTCAGTTTCTTTGCAAAGAACTTCTCTATGTGTCTCTATGTGTCTTGTGTTATCACTATTATAAATAAGGCAGCATTCAATCTGTCTGTAAGAATAGGTGAAGATACTAATTGTTATATTAGTTCTTGCTTTTGGTATTGAATTTCAATTAAACTTTTCTATTGCTTTTCCTCTTCTTGGTATTTTTCTCTTCTGAGGCTGAGAAAAACTGCTCTGTTTTAAAAACAATTAGAATGTACCTTTTTTTTCCCTGAGAAAAATGATTTGTGTGTTTTTGGTCTAAGAGAATTAAAATGGTAAAAATACTTTTGAATCCTATTTCCTAACAAAAGAGAAAGTCTCTCCCCGACTATAGAAAGTGCTAGGAAAAGCACTGGTCTATTTTGGACTCGGAAACTCAAAGTAAATCAAAATACTACAATAATCAAAAGAAATAATCAAAGAAGTAGCCTCATTTGAGATTTTGGCATGGTGGATAGATATTTAAATATTTAACAACTCTTTTTATCTCGACCTGTTCACAAGTCATACACAGGGAGTTGGAATGAAATAAAAAAGCTGCCTATTGACTTTGAAATTAAAGTAGGTATTATGCCCAGATTTTGAATAATTTCCCTTCTGTCTGTCAGAACGCTCTGCTCTCAGTTTTCCTGGGGTTAAATATTAATTGTGTACCAAGGCAGTGTTTATTAAGTTGTATTGATGCTATATATGCTTGCTCATATTTTTAGATTATTGATCAAGTTTTGAAATCCATCAATCTTGAAAAATATCTTGGGGGTGATTTCTGGGACCTTGTTTATCAAATTTGATAAGAAATTTAAAAATCAAAATATTTCTAAATTAAGCATTTAGATTGAGGTTTGCAAACAGGAATGATTTTAGCAATGAATGAAGACGTTTTGGTTGTCACAAATGTGGAGGCGGGTGCTTCTGACATCTCGTAGGCCCAGGATGCTACTAAACGTCTTAAAACCTACAAGGCCACCCTCAACAAGAAAGAATTATCTACTCTCAAATATTAATAATACAGAAGTCAGGAAACACTAATTTAGAGAAATATGATAAAGCGTTGCTCAATGCTAATGGTGACTCAACACTAAAACTTCACACTGGGAAAAAGAAATTAAAATAACAATGAGATGCCTTTTCCCCTCTGAGTAGCAAAAATGAAAGGAAGTGATAACATCCAGTTCTGGCTAAGATGGTAGGAAGTAAACACCTTCATTGGTCGAAGTAATCTGACAATCTTTATTATCCGTGTAACTTTGACTCAGCAGTCTCCCATTTAAACATATCAATATACAAAGATAGAGCTTGTTTGCTGTGTTTTTAAAAATACTGAACGGCTGGGCAGAGGCTCATATCTATAATCTCAGTCCCTTTGGGATACCCAGGCAGGAGGATTGCTTGAGCCCAGGAGTTCAAGACCAGCTTGGGCAGCATAGCAAGACTCAATCTCTACAAAAACTTTTAAAAAAGTAGCCGAGTGTGGTAGCACGTGCCTGTAGTCCCAGCTACTTGGGAGGCTGAGGTGAGAGAATTGCTGAGTCCAGGAGGTTGAGGCTGGACTGAGCCATGATTGTGCCATGGTACTCCAGCATAGGTGATAAAGAAAACCCAGTCTCTAAAATATATATGTATGTATATATTCCAACACACACACACACACACACACACACACAACCCCTATATATATATATGGGGAACAAACCTCAATTTTAATAAATTGGGGAATAGTTTGTGGGGCTTCTGTAATATATATTATTATGGATTTATTAAAGTGAGTTTGATCTATATCTAATAAATGTGAGGGATATCTGTGATGTTTTTCTGGGTGAGAAAAATCAGTTTCACAATAATATGTATATTTTAAGCTCGTTTTTAGAAAACAAACAGCAAACATTTCTATATGTATGTGTATATACTATTGCATTTTTTTTTTTTGAGACAGAGTCTCGCTTTGTCTCCCAGGCTGGAGTGCAGTGGCTTGATCTTGGCTCACTGCAACCTCTGCCTCCTGGGTTCAAGTGATTCTGCTGCCTCAGCCTCCCAAGTAGCTGGGATTACAGGCACCCACCACCACACCCGGCTAATTTTTGTATTTTGAGTGGAGATGGGGTTTTACCATGTTGGCCAGGGTGGTCTCAAACTCCTGACTCCAGATGATCCACCTGCCTCGGCTTCCCAGAATGCTGGGATTACAGGTGTGAGCCACCACCCAGCCACTATTGCATATATTAAATGAGCATGCAGAAGACAACTTGGCCGATGTTTAATTTGGTTACCTCATTGGAAGAGAACAATGAAGATCACTGGAGTTAATCATTGACATTTCTCTTTTTTGTTTTCCTTTTCAATTTCCAATTTTACTTTTCTATATTACCTTTGTATATACAAACAATGTAACAAAGAAAAGCTTAAGAAAAGTTTGTATCACTCTTGAGCACCTATTTTACGTTTAGTATTATTGTCTGTGGGAACCTCACGGAAATTTACACCTTGCTTAGCGTAATTACAAGAAGGGTAGTTAGGTTTTGGTTTTGGATTTGTTTTTCTCTTTGTTGGTGGATAATGCTAAAACTTTAGGTATTAAAAAACGTGTATCTACATGTACTTTGTAATATACATGGCATGTACTTTAGATATAGTGTACAAAATCGACTTCATATGGTAAAAATAGCTACGATGATGGCATATAACTAAGAGGTGCAATCAGACGTGCAGAGCCACTTCCTGGCATGTACTCATGACCGTCCACTGAGAACTGCCCAGAGACCTGTTGGGGAAAGGCTTGTTGTTTTCCTTGATGTCAACCTTAAAGGTTAGGAACCTTTCCTGAATCTTTTATTATGTCTATGTTTTGGATAGTTTTGATACCTCAGTAATGTAGAAATTGGCCAAATTTTGAGAATAGTGATGAAATTACTTTCTTATCTTGAAAATCACCTGTGAACACTTTGGTGCATAAATTATAGTTAAAAGATGTCATGGGCTATTGTCAGCGGAGGAAAAGAACAGTGAGAAAACTTAAGGGTCAGCAGCCTTTTCAGACTTTCATTAGGCTGGATACAGAAACCACAACAGAAAAGTGTCTACTGATCCTGTTATCCTGGCCCCAACCTACCCCACAAAATCAGCCAGCATTACTGAGTCCAAATGATGTCTCTGATCTTATTGTGCTCACTTCATACATCTTGATTATTTTAGTCTTAATGACAATGAGAGTGTGCTATTTTTGTCCTTATTTTTTAAGAGAAAAGAGACACAGAGAGGTTAGGCAACTTGCTGAAAGTCACATAATTACCATGCGACAGCCAGAGCCAGAACTCCAGCCAAGGAATATTGACTCCAGGAACGGTATAAGTAGAGTGAGTATTTAATACTGTGGAAATTGAAACATCTTATTATTTTCTTCCATGCGTGATTTTAAAAAATAAACAAAAAGGCCTGGAGCAGTGGCTCACACCTGTAATCCCAGCACTTTGGGAGGCCGAGGTGGGCAGATCATCTGAGGTTGGGAGTTTGAGACCAGCCTGACCAACATGGAGAAACCCCATCTCTATTAAAAATTTTAAAAAGTAGCTGGGCATGGGAGCATGTACCTGTAATCCCAGATATTCAGCAGCCTGAGGCAGGAGAATAACTTGAACACGGGAGGTAGAGGTTGCAGTGAGCCAAGATCTTGCTATTGCACTCCAGCCTGGGCAACAAGAGCAAAACTCCATATCAAAAAAAAAAAAAAAAAAAATCAGTGCATTCTAATTCAACAAATTCTTAGCCTTAGTAATAGGTGAATTTGGTTAAGAGGACCCTTATGGATTAATTTAAGAATTGGTATCACCTACTATAATATTAACATTTGATGTTTATGTGGAAACTGCTCAGAATTTTAAATAATGTTGTTTATTTGGGCCCAGTAAATAAATAATATCATGTATTCAGCTTCTCCTCTTCTTTCAAATGAGTAGGTGCATATGCATATGTTTGTGTAATTGATTTGGAGGTTAGTTTACAGACAACATAATCTTCTATAAATAAAAATATTGAAAGTTTAAACCATTTGGGTCATAGACCTGCTTCACTGGCCTGATGATCTTGTGTCTGTGTTAATAATGAATGCAGGTCTATTACCATTTAATATCTCTTTCAACTGAATTGTGACACCAATACATCACAGAATGTAGGTTATTAGATGAATAAAAATAAATAGTTCGAGAGTGCTTTCTCACATTTGAGGTTTAATTCTCTCTCTGCTGGGAGTGTTATATTGAGAAGGACATATTTTACAGATCTTACAGCCTTTGCAGTTTCAGTCCTCAATTTCTGTACTTTTTCCCCTTGATAATTTCCATGTTCCTATGCAATTCTTCAGTCGTAAAGCCTACCACTACATTACTGGCTTTGGGGGGTAAATTTTGTGTCTAAGTTTTCTTGTCACTAGTGAGTATTTTTTCCCTTCTCCTTTTATTGCACAGATTTTTCAAATAACACATAAAGCATATGTCCTGAAGTGAAAACACTGGGTATATTCCATTTTTAAGAATCTGACCCTCCCTTGCTTTCTTGCCCCAAGGAAGAGAAAACTCAAGACATGAAAAACTATAACAACTTATCCACTGGTTTTGATGAACAAACATTTGTACTGACAAGGTGAAAAGATATGTAAGTGTGAAGATCTTTGACAAGAAGATTTCTGACAGTTGAGGTTATCTGAGCGGGGAATGAACAAAGAGGTGGGTGGGAAGGTGGGGAGGAAGAGAAGTGGTGGTGTCTTTCATTCCTAGAGAGGATTGTGACACGGCCAACTGCTCTAAGGTCACGCTCCCTAAGGGATAATTCTTCATGTAATATCTGCTATTCCTTCTTCGTGCTTTCCTAAAAACAAAATCAAATAATGTAACTACCCTGAGGAAAAATCAACACAACTGTATTAATTAATATATCATGGGGTTATCTTTAAATGAGGGTAATAATTTTGGGCACAATGTATCCTATGA